CCCCTAGGGCAGTACATGTTACACCTCTGCTCTGCAAGCTGCATTGGTTGCCAGTTTGCTTCCAGATCCAATTCAAGGTGCTGGTTTTGATCTTTAAAGCCTTTCATGGCATGGGGCCAGGTTACCTGAGGGACTGCCTCTCCCTGATTACATCTGCCCGTCCCATCAGGTCTGGCAGAGAACACATGCTGCGTGTCCCGTCTGCCAGGCAATTACATTTGGTGGGTCCCAGGAGGTGGGCCTTGTCTGTTGTGGCACCCACCTTGTGGGATCTTCTTCCCCTAGAAGTAAGATTAGCTCCATCCCTCTTAACATTCCAGAAGTCCCTCAAGGCCTGGCTATGTGATCAGGCCTGGGGGTTCTAGGGGACTGGGAGATTTCGTGATGGCTCCCCTATTAATATTATCCCCTCCTGTTTTGTGTGCTTTTCTAGTTTTTTACTTATAATTGTTTTTAAGTATTCTTTTTAATTCTTGTACGCTGCCCAGAGTCACTTTATGTGAGATGGACGGCTATATAAATACGATAAGTAAATAAATAAAATAAATAAATATCAAGTCACTAGCTATCACAGCTCTTCTTTTTGCTTTCTTAAAGGCACACCTGCAACTTTTCTGCCCTTTAGGCAGGATCCACCATCCTGTTTCTGGTTCTGCAGTATCTTTTCTGAACACTCATAGTTTCTTTCATCTACAAGAATCTGAAAACTGTTTTTGAGTTCTAGCAGTGCAGAATATTTTCTCTTCCCTGCTCCTGTCACCCATTGGGCTTCTTTCTTTATTTATATCTTTTCCCTGTGGAAGTTTGCTTCCACTGTCCATTCCCTTTCTCATTAAGGATTGCTAAAAGCTTGCATTTCCTGCAAATATATATCTATTTGTTTTCTGGCAGGAAGTCACTAATGCCAGAAGTATTGAAAGCCACACTTGCAAACTTTTGTCTTCTTTTTCTTTTTCTTTTCTCAGGATCTCATATTAGCCAAGTACTTGAGTCTTGACTTACAACATTTGTTAGGGACTCTCATTAAAATTGTTACCTTTCTGTATTCACTCAGTGAGCTTGTTGCCTGGGACTGGGCTGTCTTATATTCCTCTTACAGTCTCTGTTTACTCAGCAAGAAGCAATCGTCCCATCACCCACAATGGGCAATCAGTTCTCAACACATTTCTTGCAATCAGCACCTATTCAGGAGACAGCCTTTCATCTTTCATAGCTCAGCAAAGGCTTCCTCATGACCCTATAGAAGCTCACTATATTAAAAGGCTCCAGTACATATGAACAGGGACAATCATAGGAAAGACAGATGTCCATTAGGCATCCTACAAATGTCCTATTTTAGACACCAGTATGAATAAAGAAGATATGTTAGTATCAATCATATAGAACTAGTAGATCAAAAAGAACGGCCGCTCAGGTTGTTCCAAGATTTCCTAGGAACCATTATATGAATCCAGGTTTGTTATAGCTCTGGTCTTAAAATAGATGTACATAGACAGACTTTTGCCTGATTGTCAGACAAATATTTTAATATATTTATTTTAAAACTTATATGGCCATCTATACATGTTAATCCAGGCAGATTAAACCTGATTTAAGCATTACATTCATCCTTTTGAATGTGAAACTGCCAAAAACTTCATCCATTTGGGGTGATTTTACATGGTAATATATGTAAATAAAATATGTAAACCTCATGGATAGACTACATGGAAAATCTTTACCATACCAGTTGTAGTGATGACCCAAAGTAAATATTAGCGTAGATGTATTCCAGTTCACTACACTAGTTCCAAAATGCTGAGTAATTTACATGTATAGTATATATTGTTTTAATTGGCTCTAGGATCCCGTAGCATGAGAAGTTCTAGAAATATTTCAAAAAAGAAAAACAA